ATTTATTCTCTGCCTACTAAGGAAAAAACAGTTGTTTTGTCTTTGTGGGGGTCCAGATTTTTGTAAGCCCTCACACCTTCTCTCCTTACCTCCAACTTCTCCACAGCAGGGCTGCCCACCAAATATTCCCATTCAGAAGAATCTCTCCTATCACAAGGGTCTTACTAATATTATCCAAGACCAGTCAGGGGCGTGGGTGTGAGCCAGGGATGGGACATAGTCTCCATCCAGTCCTGGAGTGACTGGTCCCACGGAAGGGAGGAATGAATGCCCCTTAGAGCAAGGCATTCAACTGGAGGCACACAGGCCAGGTGCTGAGTGGCTAGGACCTAGGTTCACTGCTCCAACCCGGTTGGCCACACTGCCTTTATTGTAACTTTCCTCAGCACTGCCGGACTTTGCCCTGCTGAGGGGAGTGTGTGACACATCTATCCGCACGGTGCACACTAATGGCGTTGGTTCACCTCAGCAGCAGGTGGCTGAGGAAAGCCACAGCATCCACGAAGACTAGCGGGGAAGGGCAGTGGCTGGTGCTTTCTGTCAAGTGGTGTGGAAACAAAGCCGTCTGTACCTCAGCTGCCCCCTTAAAAGGTTCTCTAGGTCCTTGGAGTTCAGGAATGAGTCACACTGCCACAGGGCCTCCTGGTGAGGCCCTCCCAGGCTTTGTCTGTGAAGTACATTAACTAGAATGTTGTCTTGTAAGGTTCTACAGGCGCGGCAGGGCCCCGACTCTTCACCATCCACTTGATAGACGCCAACACAGACAACTTACCCAAGGCTCATACCTGGTAAGCTTGGCCACTGTGGGGTCATGTCACCTTCAGTAGAGCCTCAGGTCACACCCTAGCCTAGTCAAGTGAGACAGAGAGTTGAGTCAGCAAGAGCAGTTAAAGCCCCTGAGTGCAGCCTCAAGGTTCGTGGATGACCCTTGGTTGTGTGCACGCATGTACTCGCACATGCTCATATGCATGCGTGTGCATGTACCCATCAGAATGGCAGTCACCGTCTGATGTGGAGCACATTTTCCTTCTCAGAACCTTACTGAAAATATTCTCTGTGGTGGGTGAGTTACTTGGTAGTTTAAGAAAACTGTCTCAGAATCCTCACCTCCCCTTCAGGACACTAGTTCTCAAGGTCGTGGGGTCGCCACATGACAGGAACAAAAGTTCATGAGCCTGTGACCCAGTGATGAGGTTTGGAGCAAGAGATATACATCTGTCCCCACTTTCGTTCACATCTGCAAGATGGCCAGATGATACATCCATTCCCAGGACCATGCAGGACACCATGCCTGCCTCAGCATGGTACGGCCTGTGCTCCTACAGAATGAGTGTGTGGCTCATTTTGTAGAAGGATAACACCTCTAATTTAGACGAAAACCTGAAAGAACAGTGCACCCTTCACCCGTTTCTAGCACATTCCCGGCTGCTCTCTGCCCAGGACTTACTGGCCACTGCTTTTTCTGTCTAGTGAATTACTGTGAGACAGCAGATGCGTCTCTGCACAAATACTGAATGAGTTTTCCCCTGGAAATCTTAAGTGGGAAGGTCGGTATCCATGTCATCTTTCTAGAATTTAGCATTCTTTTGCTTTTGAGACCCATCATGCTCTTGTTCGGGACTGGCTGTCCTGCAGTAGGAGACCTGATGGTCACCAGTGTAGCTTGCCAGCCAGGGTTCTTCCCAGTGTAGAGAACTCACACCCAGAGACAAAACAGTGGAAAAAACAAACTTGTGGTGAAAACTGAATGAAGCATGTTGTGTTCAGAACTTCATAGGGTTCTTCCCAGCCAGAGATAGGACACCAAATTCTCCACCCCCCCCCCCCCCCCAGCAGTGACTCTGGCTCCTTTGTCCTTTTCCAGCTTTAACCGGATTGACATCCCACCCTATGAGTCCTATGAGAAGCTCTACGAGAAGCTGCTGACAGCAGTGGAGGAGACCTGTGGCTTTGCCGTGGAGTGAAGAGTAGCCAGTGGCAGCCGAGTCACCCACAACCACCAGACCCAAAGCATATGGTGTCTGCACGCCTCCCGCATGGCGGGCTGAGGCCTGAGATTCCAGAAACCCGAGGGAAAAGGCTCGTCTCCCTCCTCTGGGGAGGGCAGGCCAGGGGACTTTCATAGGTGGCTCCCACCCATTTATCCCTCCTTTATTATAGTTCGCCCACCCTTCCATCACCCATCCAATAAAACGCAGCCAGGTTTCCCCCTCAGCCTCCTTGGCATGGTGGGCATGGCCAGGGCCAAGCTGGGCCCCGAGGGCTTGCATGGTCTCTGTACCGGCTCTCCCTCTCAGTGTAGCCTCAAGGCCCTTTTCAAGTTCAGCAGCTGCCCATAGCTTACCAAGCTCAAATTCCAGACGGTCCGGCTAGCAGCCTGTTCCAGAGAGCAGGTGGATTTCTAAGCAGGAAATAACTGCACAGTGCATGCGTGCTGGAATTCCACCAAAGCAGGAAGCTCGAGGCAGAATGTATTTCCCCTTTGAGAGGTAGAGGGATTGGAGCAGCCTTCACAGGAGGCCCAGGGATTTCTTTTCAAGGTATCCTGGCTGAACAGATGGCTTTGCACAGGGGAAACATCTTTAAAAGTTCTTTCTGCTGTGTTCTCTACCCAGTTTGAAATTCTCACGTCATGGAACTAATCAAAGAATGACCAAAACCAGGCTCAGATCCACCTGAGTCCAGCTCGACTCCTGTGCCAGGAGGCTCCTGACTGTCGTGAAATGTTAATGGACTTTTATATGGGGATTGCCAAGAGCTAAACTAACAGGACAGTTTTGTCACCACAGCCACTGGATGGGACAGCAGGAGAGGCTGCTGACCTGGGGCCTCCTGATGCAGCTCCTCAGAGTTGGTGCTATGCACAAAGCAGGGTGTGGTGGAGCCTGTGGTGACAGGGAGGGGGCTTTACCTCCCTACATGGCCCTCTTCCCCGGTGGCAATGGTGATGCTAACAGTTCTACTCAATTTGCTTGCTCAGTCTTCGTCTTCTGACGAGCAAGGCCAAAGCCAGCCTAATGCCATGTCTCTAACACCACTTCCAGTTTGCACAAGTGTTTAGAAGCAGTGACTGTCCCGAGAGGCTGGATTCAGCAGCTGAACTCTGGGGGAAGGCAGGGCAGCAGCCCATCTTCCACGTGTGGTTTTGCCATTTTTGTTTGTGGTGGGGGCGAGAACAGGGTAATTCATTAGCAAGACATTTCATTGGTACCGGGGTTCAAGTTCAGCCATGAGTTCAAGTTTTGTGTGGGATGATGAAGAAGGTCCTGTCGGGCCACTGACTTTTGTCTTCTTTTCATTGCTCACCCTCAGGCTAGGGATGGGGAAGTGTCTTCCCTTCTGTTCCCGCTGCTCCTGTCCAGCTTGCTCCAGAAGCAGTTCCTGAGTTACTGGGGAAGGCTGGATTCATAGGTCATACACACCCTATCTCAAGAGGTTTGCCCAGCTTGGTGGCCACGGGTACTGCAGAGCGTGAGCCAGCCACACGCTGAGTGTCAAGGTTTAGGGACGGAAAGGATGCTTGGCAGACCTCACTGCACAAAAACTGAGTCCATCCCACCATCCAGGCCAGACTGGGGCCTTACCAGTTTCTCAATTTTCTGCCTTGCCCCCCAGTAGGGCTTCTGTATTTCATCTACCTTAATGCTCCTGAGGGTGTTCTAAAACCTGGCTCCCTCAAGACTAGGAAGTATGAGGATGCCTGTGCCCTAAGGCGCAGCCAGGCCCCACAGCGTGACTCTGGAGACGGGAAGCCCTGCGTGGTGCTGTGGCACTGTGCCAGTCTGCAGTGTTGGAGGAGACAGGGTCCTGTGCTGCCGGAATGTCGAGTTGGGAGTGACGTGGGACAAGCCTTAGGAGTCCCATGTCACGTGTGCGTTGAGGATCCAGAGGTTGGCCCCTCGGGCTGACTGTGGTAGGCACACATACCACCCAGTAAGGCTTCTAAGTCTTTCTCCTTAATTGCCTGGGTTCCCTTCATTGCCAGTTCTGAGTGTCCCAGCCTCCCCCAGGTGTCCGTTGGTACCACTGCACTTCCTTGTCTGTCTACCATGGTTAGGTCCTTCGGAAGCTCCTCACAGGACACCGCGTGGCCGGCTGACCCACGGCAAAGCTCCTGGTTGCTCTGCTTTGGGTCTGGATGAAGCCCTTTCATGTAAGATCTCGATTGTCACCCTTCCTGGTGGCCCCAGACGATCCACCGTTGCCACGTCACCCAGATGCTTCAGGAGCCCGGCTCTCCAGGCTCCCCTCACCAGCGGCCAGCAGCCAACTCAGGGACGCAGCAAACACCACTCTGCTCCGCAGTGCTTCAGAGGAAGCAGCAGGCTGCAGCAATGGGGTGGCAGCGGGTTCCAATCTCTTGCTTTCTGTTTGGAGAATCTGCCACAAATGGGATGCTGACCCCTACACTGGCTTGGCCACATGGTCAAGTTCAGCCTAGGTGGCCCCTGGACTGACCCTCGGCAGAGAAAACACCCCACCCTCCTGCAGCCAGGTGGGGGCCACATGGCAGCCTTCTGAAACAGTGTGGGTTTTTCAAATGTGTTTATAATGTATCCTAATTTATTTTGTAAGGTCCTGTTGGAAGTGCTGCTGCTACCCTAGTTGCTCTCCCAGTTTTTATTGCCCATTTCCTTGTGACAGTTGTACACTAATGTTCTGTTTTATGTCAGAATCGAAAGTATTTAAAGAAATGCTAGTTCTATTTAATGCAGTTGTGGAACCAGCTGGAAACACAAAACGTTGACTGTAGAGCAGGCTGGACCCAGGAGGTCAGGTTCATTTTGTTACATATGCAATAAACTCACAACTTTACTTTTTTTTTTGGCATCTGTTACTTTGATGTGGTAACAAGATTCTGATGTTACTTAGTTTCATCAGCAATGAAGTCCAGCCTCCAAGGAAAAGAGGTAAAGCTAAAATTTTTCGGGGGGGGGGGGGGGGGGGG